TTAAAGGCGATGATGATGAAGACAATATGATGTGAGGAACAAGAAAGTTGGGTATGGTTGGGGCTTATGGAAGAGAATAACACGAAGTTAGATGGCTATTGAAGAAAGCTACAGAGGTGTTGAAATCATTTGAGGATGTATTTCAGTTTCCAAGAGGATTACTGGCGGAGCAAGGTAGGGAGCATGGGATCGTGTTAAAAGATGGGATGGAACTGGTAAATATTTCTTTTGTAGATTTCAACAATATCAAAAGGATGAAATCTAGAAGATGGTAAAAGAAATGTTAGAAACGAGAATCATCCACTAAAATCATAGTGCGTACTCGAGTTTGGGGTTTTTGGTTAAAAAGGATTGAAGTTGGCATTTTGCATCGACTATAGGGCCTTGAACAAAGGGACGGTGCCAGACAAGTTTCCTATTCCTATTATCGATGAATTACAATGAACCAATTATTTTTCAAAAGGGGATTTAAGGGTCAGATATCATTAGAGAAGAATGCATACAAAGGATGTACATAAAACGTCGTTTTCTTATGAGGGACATTACAAGTTCTTAGTAAAATTGCATCGACCATGTTTCAATCATGAAGAATGGAGTTTTCAAGTCGTTCTTGTAGAAGTTCGTATTGGTCTTTTTTGATGATATACTAGAGTACAACAATTTGCTTGAAAAACATTGTAAGCATTTAAGGGAGGTGCTCCACAAGTTGAGGACGCAACAACCATACTTGAACAAGAAGAAATGTGAATTTGGTAGAGGTAAGGCATGTAATCTCACGCAAGGTGTGGCTATGGATCACTCCAAAGTGGAGGTGATGTTGAGGCCTCAAACACGGAAGATACACAAGTGAGGGGTTATTCTTTGATTAACGGGATACCAGCTGATGTTTATCTCTAGCTACGGACAAACTAAATAGCACGACCACGGACAAACTTGTTAATGAACCGACAGTTTGGGTGGAAAGATGAGGCGACAATTGCGTTTGAGGCATTGAAGGCATCTTCTACTACATCCCCCGTTTTGGCATTACCATATTTTAACAAGACAATTTTGATTGAAGCTTGTGCTTCACGAGAATTGGAGCAATGCCAATGAAAGGAAATCGACCCATTGCCTTCCACAACCAAGTTTTGGATACAAAAGTGAGGCAAAAGCCAATGAATGAAAAGAAGAGTTTTTGTAGTAGTAAAGTGGCGGGCATATCTAGTCGGAAGGAAGTTTATTGTCAAAACGGATCAATAAAGTCTTGAAGTTCCTATTGGAAAAGCAGGTAATTGATTCACAGTATTAGAAGTGGGTACTCAAATTGTTGGGATATTAGGTTTGAATTTGAAACCGTTTGCAAATAAGAGGAGTGGCAAACAAAGCAGCAAACACATTATCAAAAGGACCCATAGTGTTTGGTGATGGACGATCCTCAAAGAAAGCAATGGCAAGTGATTTGAAAAGAGGTAAAAGAGGATACTGTTTTGAGTAGAAAGTGAGGAATTAGTGGCCGGAACAATGGAGCCTAAAGGGTTTATAGTTGGACAGGGGCTGCACCATTCGTATACAAATTGGTCGGTGTTCTCTTGAACTTCCTAATTGTCTTTTTTGGAAGGGTGTCCCAGGCTACGCCTTGTTTAACCCGGGAAAATTGTAACCGGAAGAAATCAGCCCTGATAAACTCAGTGGCCACAACTATTGTGTACGCGTGATATCAACCTCCTCATTGTTACCGATCATCTTGGAGGAATTTCATAGTTTGGTTACCATGTATAGGCTAAGCAAGTTTGCTCAATTTATGCCTTTAAAACACCCATTTAATGCTCATCAAGTGGCAGAGGTGTTTGTTAAAGAAGTTGTATGACTACATGGAGTACCGCAATTGGTGGTCACGAACAGGGACAAGGTTTTCTTGAGTCAGTTTGGATGGTAGTTTTTGCAGAGGAGAAAACTTTGTTTTATACAACATATCATCCACAATCTAAGGTAGTGAACCGTTGCTTGGAGCAATATCCATGGTGTTCAACCTCAGAAAAACTAAACGGTGATGTAGATGGTTGGGGTGGGTGGAGTATTGGTTTGGGTGGGATCCACTGATCATATTGAAGTATGAGGTAGAGATGGATGAAATGGGATGCACTTGATTCGAGCATAACAGGCTGATCAACATTGAAAGGAGGATGCTTTTGAAGTAGGCAATTTGGTGTTTATTAAGACATTGCTAGATGTTAGACTAAGTCAACTAGTCTAGTTTATATTATTAATATTGTCTAGGGTCCAAAGTGTAATTAGTTTTACCTATATAAGGTGTATCAGATTATTATTATTTTTCAATCAATACAAATCAATATCAAGTTTAATATGGTATCAGAGCCTAACCCTAAACTTAACCCTAACCCTAATCTGCTGCTGCCGCCCC